GGAGACACTCTCTCCCCGCCTTCGCATTGGCCACATCGTCTTACTCATGGGTATCTCATGGAGAGGCACCTGTTCCTCTCGTGAGCAGTGTCAAGTTCCAGTATCGATTAGCCACATTCTGTTAGACTGCCCTCTCTATCAACGAGCACGCAGAATTTACCTCCAACGTCGTCTTCGTTCTACTACTCTCTCTTTACCTTCCCTTCTTGCTGATGGACCCTCCTTTAATCCTGACTCTCTCATTGACTTCTTGACAACGACCGATTTACTCCACAAACTCTGATGATACTTTTCGCACTCCCCTCAGCCCTTTCTGGTTCAGTCTCTTGCTGCCCTTTACCCTTTCACCATCCACTGCCCCGCTGTTATCCGTAACCTGTTGCTCATCCATCTCCCTTTTGCCACCTGATGCCCTCACTTCCTTCCTGCCCTGCAGCGCTGTATAGTCCTTGTGGCTTAGCGCTTCTTTTTGATTATAATAATAATAATAATGTAGCATTTATATGTATAGTGGCTTTGCATGTTCTATTTATAAGTTTACTGCTGGGTAGTTTACTGCTGGGTAGTTTACTGCTGGGTAGTTTACTGCTGGGTAGTTTACTGCTGGGTAGTTTACTGCTGGGTAGTTTACTGCTGGGTAGTTTACTGCTGGGTAGTTTACTGCTGGGTAGTTTACTGCTGGGTAGTTTACTGCTGGGTAATTTACTGCTGGGTAGTTTACTGCTGCCATATACCACATACTTTCTCTTGGTGAGAATACATTCTAAACTTTCCCCAGTAATATTAATGTATAAATTTTACAGACTACTATACTTCCATAACAATGTACAGTATACCAGAAGTATACCAGAAGTATACCAGAAGTACACCAGAAGTACACCAGCAGTACACCAGCAGTACACCAGCAGTATACCTGGAGTATATCTGGAGTATATCTGAAGTATTCTTAGATTAGACCTAGATAATATCTGGATTATACATAGATTATACCTGAAGTATACCCGGAGTATACCTAGATTATACCCAGATGTACCTGGAGTATACATGAATGGTGTTCTGGGGGTCAACGCCCCCACATCCTGGTCCATGACCACGCCAGGAGGTGGATCAAGACCTAATCAACCAGTGGTAAGAGATATAGCAGGAAGTACAAAATAAACCCCAGAGAAAATAAAGGGCACCCTGGGTTCAATAAGAGAACACTATATCAACATCCTTGACCCAGGAAAAACTCGTATATGTCAGAATCTCTTTTAACTAAGAATATCTTTATATTTGCTTGTGTTCTCGTTTATTTATAAATTTTATTATATTTAGCATTTATAAGACACATGTACAACACCTAGGTGTCTTTATTGGTTGGGTAATAGTGTTGCACATGTGTCTTATTCATCAATAAAGACACCCAGGTGTTGTACATGTGTCTTATTCATCAATAAAGACACCCAGGTGTTGTACATGTGTCTTATTCATCAATAAAGACAACCCAGGTGTTGTACATGTGTCTTATTCATCAATAAAGACACCCAGGTGTTGTACATGTGTCTTATTCATCAATAAAGACACCCAGGTGTTGTACATGTGTCTTATTCATCAATAAAGTCACCCAGGTGTTGTACATGTGTCTTATTCATCAATAAAGACACCAGGTGTTGTACATGGTCTTATTCATCAATAAAGACACCTAGGTGTTTATACATGTGTCATATTCATCAATAAAGACACTAGGTGTTATACATGTGTCTTATTCATCAATAAAGACACCCAGGTGTTGTAATGTGTCTTATTCATCAATAAGACACCCAGGTGTTGTACATGTGTCTTATTCATCAATAAAGACACCCAGGTGTTGTACATGTGTCTTATTCATCAATAAAGACACCCAGGTTTGTACATGTGTCTATTCATCAATAAGAAACCCAGGTGTTGTACATGTGTCTTATTCATCAATAAAGACACCTAGGTGTTGTACATGTCTTATTCATCAATAAAGACACCTAGGTGTTGTACATGTGTCTTATTCATCAGTAAAGTCACCCAGGTGTTGTACATGTGTCTGATTCATCAATAAAGACACCCAGGTGTTGTACATGTGTCTTATTCATCAATAAAGACACCCAGGTGTTGTACATGTGTCTTATTCATCAATAAAGACACCCAGGTGTTGTACCTGTGTCTTATTCATCAATAAAGACACCCAGGTGTTGTACATGTGTCTTATTCATCAATAAAGTCACCCAGGTGTTGTACATGTGTCTTATTCATCAATAAAGTCACCCAGGTGTTGTACATGTGTCTTATTCATCAATAAAGACACCCAGGTGTTGTACATGTGTCTTATTCATCAATAAAGACACCCAGGTGTTGCTCACTATTCTCTTTATTACTCCTGATATAAGTTAGTGATCAGTTATGAACCTTCACAGCTGAGCAAGGAATGGCTCTAGGTTCAACCAGGGCTGGTTCTCTTCTTGGATCGAACCTTTCCCTGACCAGCACTGCGTCACGACCTACCTATGCCCACTCCAGCTCCACCTACGCCCACTCCAGCTCTACCTACGCCCACTCCACAGTAGCAGGGAGCTCCAGCCTGCCTCCACATAGCCGCAGAAGCTCATCTAAGCTCCCTTTTATACCTTACAGGGACTCAGTCCTCACTTGGTTATTGAAGGATACATTGGGAGGCAATGCAAAAACACTGATGATTGCTAGTGAGTATTGCAATGTGTTGCTGTAGATGTTAGAAGTGTTGTTAGAATAATGCCTCATTTGTGTTGTTGTGGGAGAAAGGTAATGTTTATGTTGGGATTTAGAAGCTGGTTAGATGGACCGGAGTTCTGGAGGTGGGAAGTACAGTGTCTGTACTCTGGAGGATGAGTGAGGATGATACAGTTCTGGAGGTGGGAAGTACAGTACCTGTACTCTGAAGGATGAGTGAGGATGTTACAGTTCTGGAGGTGGGAAGTACAGTACCTGTACTCTGAAGGATGAGTGAGAATGTTACAGTTCTGGAGGTGGGAAGTACAGTACCTGTACTCTGAAGGATGAGTGAGGATGTTACAGTTCTGGAGGTGGGAAGTACAGTACCTGTACTCTGAAGGATGAGTGAGGATGTTACAGTACTGGAGGTGGGAAGTACAGTACCTGTACTCTGAAGGATGAGTGAGGATGTTACAGTTCTGGAGGTGGGAAGTACAGTACCTGTACTCTGAAGGATGAGTGAGGATGTTACAGTTCTGGAGGTGGAAAGTACAGTACCTGTACTCTGAAGGATGAGTGAGGATGATACAGTTCTGGAGGTGGGAAGTACAGTGTCTGTACTCTGAAGGATGAGTGAGGATGTTACAGTCCTGGAGGTGGGAAGTACAGTACCTGTACTCTGAAGGATGAGTGAGGATGTTACAGTCCTGGAGGTGGGAAGTACAGTACCTGTACTCTGAAGGATGAGTGAGGATGTTACAGTCCTGGAGGTGGGAAGTACAGTACCTGTACTCTGAAGGATGAGTGAGGATGTTACAGTCCTGGAGGTGGGAAGTACAGTACCTGTACTCTGAAGGATGAGTGAGGATGTTACAGTTCTGGAGGTGGGAAGTACAGTGTCTGTACTCTGAAGGATGAGTGAGATGTTACAGTTCTGGTGGTGGGAAGTACAGTACCGTACTCTGAAGGATGAGTGAGGATGTTACAGTCCTGGAGGTGGGAAGTACAGTACCTGTACCTGAAGGATGAGTGAGGATGTTACAGTTCTGGAGGTGGGAAGTACAGTACCTGTACTCTGAAGGATGAGTGAGGATGTTACAGTCCTGGAGGTGGGAAGTACAGTACCTGTACTCTGAAGGATGAGTGAGGATGTTACAGTTCTGGAGGTGGGAAGTACAGTACCTGTACTCTGAAGGGTGAGTGAGGATGTTACAGTCCTGGAGGTGGGAAGTACAGTGTCTGTATTCTGAAGGATGACTGAAAATACAACATTTCAGAGGGCCGTCTGAACTGTAATACCAACACTTCTGACAAAAGAGCGACTGAACGAATAATAATAAACTTCCTCTATTTCTGGACGACTCTACCGTGGGAGACACCCATCGTGTTAAAAATAACTGAACCAAATCCCATTTCTTGCAGCTGTGTCGCCTTGCAGCACCAGTTTAGCTGAGAGTTTGTCCACTCTGAGGTATGCAACACGGGCCCGATGCATCGTCAACACTCCAGTAGTGAACCTGGATGATAGAACTGCGACTATCAGTAGTCTGAAGAGGGAAGTGGCAGCTCTGAAGAGAATGCTGTGTGATGCCAAGGTAAGTTCTGGTGAGGACTGTAATTTGTGTTCGTATAAGACTGGTAGACAACTATCCAAGGAGGTACTATCCTCGTATCATCCCAGTGCAGAACAACTATTATTGACCCTCCTATAGTAGACTTTAAACCCCATTAACCAACCAACCAGCCTTAATGGCCATTGTGTAGTAGACTTGAAACCCCATTAACCAACCAACCAGCCTTAATGACCATTGTATAGTAGACTTGAAACCCCATTAACCAACCAACCAGCCTTAATGACCATCGTATAGTAGACTTGAAACTCCATTAACCAACCAACCAGCATTAATGACCCTTTTATAGTAGATAGACTTTAAACCCCATTCAGCCATAATGCTTGTCCTTTATTAGTCACGGTAATGCCCTGTTTTTATTAGTTCTAGTCATGGTATTAGCTAGGCGTTTATTACTTGCATTAACTATATCAACTTCGACTTTATTGATCTCCAGCCAGCATTAAGGAGAGCTCTTGGGAGCAGCAACAAAAGCTCTTTACTAGAAGCAGCATCACAAGTGTCAAGCTCACAGCTCACCAGAGAGTGGATCACCCATCTCCATACCGAACATCACACCAAGGAACACAAGAAAGTCAGGAGAAAAAGTGCTCCAGTCTGTGACCAGTGGAGCCTGAGCTCCACCAGGGTGCTTCAGCGTCAGCAGCAGCACACCCGCTGGGGAAAACCTGTGCAAGAGAAAAAATTT